GAAATTCATATGGTAAAGAAAATATATAATACATTTTCAGCAACAAAAAAATTTGGATACCCAAAATGTAGTGTCTCAAAAGGTCATGTATAAATTTGTAACGACCCCATATACAGCCCCCGCCCTGAGCCGGGGCCCCAAATGTTTTTTTTGGTCTTCAATCATTTCTTTTATACAAAAAATAAATAAAATTGTGTCGAAGGCCTAAACTTTTTTCTATGGTTATAAAAGTTCTATTTTTTAATATTCTGCACACAAGCACAAATAAAATCAAATTATTTTTCTTGTGTGTGGAGCTATAGATACATAGGATGTTCAATCATTTCTTATATACAAAAATTAAATGACATTTTGTTGGAGCCCTAAAATTTTTGCTATAATTGTAAAAGGTTTCATATACATGCATAGGATCTATTTTCGACGTTGCCATAAACCTTAAAAAACTCATAGCCGGTCCTGCCCCATGTATGAATTTATATACTATATGCAAATTTTTAAAGTGAGATTCAGTCGTGATGGCATCAAAACCAAACGCAGTAAATAAAAAAGAAAAACAAATTTATTTTTATATATTTACCTTCACAAAGGGGTGTGCGTAGATATCACGCACTCTAAGGTGGGTAGGCAGAGAAAAAAGGTAGGTTGGGTCAGTGCATGCATGACTCTATCTGACGTAAGGACAAAAAAGAAGTCTAATTTGTGGTCCAAACGTATGACAGTGACAGTGACTCGTATTTTATAAACACTCTGGACCCGCACTCACTTTAATGTTTTATGTTTTTGAGCTTGGACTGAGTGTGACACGTCTCTAAAACGGACTATAATTATTTTGGACTGGATAAATTTTTTTGAACACCCAACTTCTTTGTACACCCGACTCGTAATTTTTGTTAAATTATTTAATTTTCTATGCATACTTTACACCAAAATGATTTTTTTTTTTGGTACCTTAGTTAATTTTGAGATTATCATCACCGAAAATTTGATTAAATAAAATACAATATATAATGAATGGTTTCATTACTAATAGCATCAAAGTATTTTAAATAAAACCTCACACTTACTGGAGACGCGGATCCGTTTCTCTCAAAACTATTAGTGATGAGCCACGGATCCGTTTCTCTCAAAACTTCGCATAGCCTCACCGGCCTTAGTGGTCAGTGAAGGGTTCAGTGAGGAGGAAGAGAGAGGAGGGTGGTGGTGGAGATTGAGGAGAATGCTCCACCATTACTACTACTCGTGTAGATCTCTCTATGTTGGAGGTGGAGCTGCTGATTTGGTGGATCTACTTTTATTGTGCTTGGGGTCAAGTGAGGATTAAGAAATGCTGTGATATTCTTTAGAATGTCCTGGTTGAAGTTGAGCAGTTATGCCCTCCACTCTTGGGGTGTTTCCTGTCCCATGAAGTTAGAGAGATTGTTCTCTATCTTGATCTTCTTAAAGCACTGGTATTTGCAGGGATTTAGGTCATCCTCATTTGTAATTCCTTGTTAGTTGGGTTTCAAGTTGTATATTTGTTTTCTAACTATCTTGTAATACTTGTGCTTAGTTGGCTATGTTGTTTTAGTCTCTATACAAGAACCTCCTTCTGGGGTTGTGTTCTTACTGTTGTATTATGGGTTTGCACCCTGTTTTTCAATTGAATCTCTACTCTTTTGGGGAAAAAAAAAATTACAATCAATTGAACTTAATATAACGCGGAGAGAAATACTAAATTAAAGGGTAATTCAATCAATGTACCATATTGCTTAACTAAATCAGTTGACAAGTTAACTCATGTTTCTATAGAAGATTATTAGGACATTAAGTTTTGGTCTTAAAGAATTACATAAACTCATGTTCCTCAAACAATATATCAGAATGAACTAAGCTTTGGTATAGGATTAGGATGAGCTGAAATCCCTTCTAATTTGGTCTAGTGTAAATTATGCAGTAAATGAGCTCAACTCTTAAAAAATTAGTTGTGCTTTTAATAAAATGCATTTTCAACTGCAGTAAATGTTTAAATTCTTCAGAAGTCCTTGTCATATCCTATCTCGACTATCCGACCTTACAAATAATTAAAGTGATACTTCCCTTACAATATTATATCCACCAATTTGGTACACGTTCAATGCAAATAACTTTTATTTTTCCAAATTCAATGCATACAAGGCTCCATTTGGACGGAGGCATTTGAAAGAAATGGTTTGCTATAAAAGAACTACAAAACATTATATCGGATGTAAATAAAATAGGGAGATTCACTATTATACCCAATATGAGGGCCCAAATTATAAAAATACCCCATATGAAATGGACTTTAGAAACACATTCAAAGCTCATTTACAACATGACAAAAAAGCTTTTAATTTCTTATAAATAACAAAACTGCCATCAATTTCTTAAAACAAGCCCAACTCCAAAATCTCATAAAAATACCCAAAACACTCAATAGGACATAAAAGTAATTTAATAATCAATATTAAATTCAATAAGGTCAGCTGTCATTTTTTGGGTTTTTTTTGGGTTTGTTTATATAAATTCAATTGTGTAGGGTTTATTTATAAGATTAGTGCTAGAAATGGGTATATCACTAAATATCTCAATAAAGTAACCAGATATAGTGTACTTGGAATCCATTTGTTCTCTTTATTTTTTTCTTATATAAATTTTGGCATAAACAAACAATTTAATCTTATAATGTCATCTAAATTCCTATATTTGAAATTACTCCATCCGAATAAAGCTTAACTTTTACTTCGAACAACTTTTATAGGATACCCCACATAAATTTAATAAAATAAAAAATTAAATTAAATATTGCAAGCCGCCCATGATAAACTTTTGCATATATTCACATTCGCTTGGTCTTGGTGGCTTTGATTAGCAGGTGAATTACAATTAATTAACGTCCAGATTTCAATTTTGGAAATGGTTTATTGCTTTTTGACCATTGGATGTGATGGTGGATTTCTTACCATGTAAGTTAAAATTACCTAGATATTGCAATTAATTCTCATATTTCCAATAGATAATGCTGTGTGGATTTCTTACAAATTGCCTAGATATTGCTTCATGTTGTTTTTTAGTGGCACAGCATGTAATTTGCAACTAATTTAAACCCAATTTAGTCAAGGATTGTGTATTTATGGTAATCCAAGCCTAAAAGGATTGTACATGAAATTCTGATGTGTCAAGGCCAGAAAACAAAAAAAGGCCCAAAGCTTTCACGTGCCAAAGTGGGCCCCATCTGTGTTGGCATGGCCTTCCATATATGATGACATGGCCTCACACCAACTCAAATTCTTTGCACACAACCACAGGAATTAAATGTTACCTTGTTTTACCAAATTACCAAAAGAACAGAGGAAGTGTTCCACTGCAGTTAGACTCACAAAGGCTCTCATGGACTCTATTGATTGTGTTTTTCCTAATCTATTATTTTATATTTCATATTTACTCTTCTTTTTTTAAAACTACATCAATTTTTATAATGAGGCACATACCTATTTATTTAAAATTGATAAATTATTTTTAGTTTCATATTTTCGTTTGATTTGCTTTTGAAATAGTAATTCTTGTAGGCACAAAAGAATTTTTTTTTTAAAATTAAAGGACTAACAAAATTTAAACTAAAGAAAAAGAAAATTATATTGATTTAGGATTTTTTTTCTTTCTAAATATAATTTTTAGGTTAACTCAGCCTAAAATTCATAAAAAATCTTGGCCCAGTTATCTTACTCATAACTTGACTGGTCTGCTTAAAAAATTAACAAACCGAATTGCCACGTATTTTGTGATAAAAGTTTAATTATATAACTTTGTTATTATTAAATACGTGATTAGTAATCTTGATTCAATTACTCACTTTCATAGATTCTGAACTCTTTTGAATAAATCATCATTTGGATGAACTAGTATCAATAAATGATAGACTTAAAAGTATTTATGTTTTATTTTTATAGATTGTTATCATGCACTTCTTAATCATGAACTTCACGCGAGACCTAACAACAATTATTCACTATAAATATTTTAATAGCTAAACGTACACATCACACTTTAAAAATATAAAGTACAAATTTTCTTATGTCTTTTAAATCTTCTCTAGTAACAGTGGCCTAATAGTTTTTCACTAAGCACAATGCCACACGATTCCTTCAATTGTTATTTTTTTCCCACTTACATTCTACTTTTTATAATATTATAATATTTTAGTCCACTTTTTACTGCTGAATTAACATATAAAATGAGTTATTAGTTTAGTAATATATCTCAAATTCGAAATATGCATTGAAAAAAAAAAAAATGCATAATTCCACTATAAAAAATTAGAATATGCATCAGATTAAACATGTAATCCATTGGTTATCAAGTGAGAGTGCATGAAAATACAATAAGGACGCCTCCATCATAGCATAACACGTTTTCCTATTTGGAAGAGCGTAACGCCCCCACATGGAAATGTGAATAGCCTTGTCATGCACTGGCGTGGGACCCACATGGATGTATCCCTCGGGAGGTCATAACAATGACCAAATAGTCCCTCCTCTGTTGGGGGGCCATGATAAATCGGATGCTGCTTCTCCTATAAATTGGATGCGGCTTCTCCCAAGCCATTTGATGCAGTGTTAGAGCAATCTTGGGCGAAGGGAGTTTTCAAGTAAGAGCAAATTCTCCTTTTGCTTTTTTGTTCTTTTTGGGTGCAACATTTCTGTAAATTTCTCATTTGATTAAGAAAGTTGCTATCTTCATATAGAATTTGAGCTCCATTTCTTGCTACATCTTTTTAATAACAATACCTTTCTAGACCAGCCATTGTTTCCAGCATATCAAATCTGTTTTGGGTTTTCCATGATGTCGCCTTCTCAAAATCCTATTTGTTTTGCTTCAATTCTAGCTACTTAGACAAATATTATCTTATATTTCAGATTTTTTTTCTATATGTGTGTGTGTTTGCCAATATGATTTACTGATTTTTGGCTCATTTTGACAGGGCTATCACAAATATTTCGCAAATGGCTGGTACCCATCGTGACTATATTCACTCCATAATACAATTTCTCGATGGCGCTAATTTACATGAATCTGCACGCATGTGGGTTTTCTTTTCCCAATTTAATTTCCCCTTATTGCCAAGAACAACAATTGTGTATGTCCATGAGATGATTAATTGTCATTCATTAACTTATGTAGATCTCACACACACGTTAATAACTAAAACTGTCAATGTTGACATGTGGAAGCACGACTGCCTTTGTCCTTTGGGTTCAACTTTCTTGCTTCTTTATTTTTCTTTTTTTCTTTTCTTCTTTCTCATATGATATAAATTTGTACCCTGTATATATATGTAGGGTGGAGAGGGAATCAGGATTGTTCTTTAACCTGAACTACTTTGAGGACTGCTTCATCCGCGGAGCATTTCAGAAAGCGGAGGAGTATGTGAGCAGTTTCACAACCGTGCACGACAACCACTGCTCAACTCGTATCATCCACGAGATCCGGTGGCACAAGTTCTTGGAGGCCATGGATAAGTAATCAACTAATGTCTCTGATAATTAATCTTCATTACTAACGAAGTTTCTAACCTCAGAAACATTGTTGTGTTCATGTTCTTATTATGTACTATGTTTATGAGCAGTAAGCGATATGATGATGCAAAGTCCATTCTCGAAGAGTTTAAGGATTTCGAGCGGTATAATCCTAATATAATCGCTCAGATGACTGAGCTATTTGACCTTGAAAAATTCAGGTATAAAAATACTCAATTTCAATTATTAATACACACGTACATACAAAAATATTATTTTACAATACAATTTGATCATATAATTAGATACTTATGAATTTCAAATTTAAAAAATAAATAAATTCAGATAATTCCTTGCATATAGTCATTGGGAATCCATTTCAAATATACTAGCAAATTCAGCCTTATAGTCAAACGTTTTTCCTAATGTGACAAAGTAAGCATGTTGCAACACTGTATACACATTATTAAAATTTCGATTTTACGTACATATATGATGATTTTTTATGTGTAGGTCATTCGAAGGGCTGCCTGGAGACCCAGAACTAGAGAGAAGGGCAGCATGGGAACATATTAAGAAATACTTGAAGGCCAATCCGCGGCTAGCCGGGAAGCTTCGGTACCAGGTGGGGTCTCCCAATTTTCGTGGTTTTCTACCAGTGATTCCACCAGCTCAAGCAGCTCAGTCATCAGCATCAGCTGGATCAGGGCCGCAGGGAAATGGGAATTTGAGGATGAATGGGAATCTTCCCTGCTGCTGTCCAAGGAATAGGAGGGTTTAGGGTTCATGTTTTTTTTTAATCCCTTTGTTTAATGAACGCTTTGTTTTGTTTCTTTGTTTTGTTTTCTGAACTTATGTGGTTTAATTAATAAGGTTTTTATTTGTGCCGGAATTTGAGATATTTTTGGAAGCTTCTTAGTTAATTTTCATTTCTATTTCCAAACCAAGTACAATTTCATTGATTGAAGAACTTTTGCTCAGTGATAAAAACTATTCTTCCTACAAAAGAACGTATGGTATTCGTGAAAAAAGTTTTGTTTTTGTTTTTGTTGGAAGTAGAGGAAAAATAAATACCCAATTACATGTTTTTAAAAGTTTAAATTTTAAATACTTTTATAGTCTCATAATTTAGTTAAATTTGTGATTGAGTCCAAAGTTATTTTGGTCAAATTGGTTTGACGTAAAATTACATGCACGTATGTACTAGTCATACGAAAGGATAAAAGTGTAAATTTAAGATTAGTTTCACTACGTTTCATTCAAAAGGAAAATATTCTATCCATATCTCTAACCAGTGGCGGATCCAGGATTCAAAAGTCAGGTAGGCGAAAGTTACCTTAAAAACTCAATGGTATGAATGAATTTAATTCATAAAAATAAAAAAATACACTTAGTCGGAGAGAACGTAATGAGATTTACTCTAAGATATGCATCTCTATACATAAATAAAAACTTAACGAAAAAACAAAATTTAAAAACAAATTAATGCAATGCAGCACAAAACTAAACTATTTAAATCTAAAACTAAATTAAACTATTAAAAAACTTAAGATATATACATTTATTTTAAGAAAAAGCCAATAGAACATAGTTGATTCCACGTTAATATATTGCAAACGCGCACCAATAATCTGGATTCAAATTTATCACTTCTTTTTTTCTTCTCCATACTAATTAAAGAAACTCCTTATAATTTATCTTCAAACTCAAACTATATCTAGGTGGCTTTCTACCATTAGCCCCACCAAAGCAAGCAGCTTAGCCAGCTGAGTTTTTACTTATAAAACCATAATTATATAGTCTACCATTGACATCTAATCCGAAAAAGAAAACTAAACAATAGATTTATGGAGAGGAATATTCAAGGCAAAAAATACTTTTTTGTAGTTGGAAGTGGAAGAAAGAAAATAGAACAAATTACATTTGTGATTGTTAATTTGGATCCGGTTCGACTTTAGTATGTAAAATTTCAATATTTGAAATAACTATTTTGCTGAAATTAAGTTTGTAATTGAGTCGCAGATATGGGCTTAGCCAAATTGGATAGAGCGGATGTGTTTCTCACCTGCACATGAGTTTGAATTCTCCTCCTCATATAATTTAGATTAGATTAAAATAGAATATCGTTTGTATGAAAAAGTTAGTAATTGAGTCTAAAGTTATTTGCTATGTACTAGTCGCGTGTCGAATAATTTTGTTTTTTTCCGAGAGAAGTCGTGTGGAATGATAAAAGTGTAATTTGACAATGATTTTAGCTACGTTTCACTCAAAACGAAAATGCATCTTCTTCGAATTAGTGCTCTCACATATGATATATCATATTGATTAGCCACTACACCTTTATTTATTTATTTATTTTGCTTTTTGAAAGAAAGTACACCACCAATTGACTTTAATTTTATTTGTTTTAGTTTAAAAAAAAATCCCAAAATTTCAATTTTATCATTCAATAATAAAATAAAATTAAAAACCCAAAAAATTGAAAAAAAAGAAAAAGAAAGAAGAAGAAGCTAGCCCCGACCACCAATCGATAGCCACTGATCCCTCATCACCTACATTGCCGGCATCGGCCCACACCAGTGACTCAAGTAGGTGATGGAGGATGGTTGGGTTTTGGGGTGGCTGGGCTGGGGTTGTTGAGATTTTTGGCTTTTGGATGAAGTATTACAAGTGGAGACAACTTTAGTAAGAAATGGCAAAACTTGAATTTTGGATAAAAATTTTAAGTAGGTGGTTTCAAGAGATAGGGAGTGTCAATAAAATACCCCAATCCATAGTCTTATCCATTCTCTAACACAATAGACTAAAAAAGAAAGTCTATTTTCCAAAAGGAAAATTTCCTCTCCTCCTTTTATACAAGTCAAATGCAACCAAGATAAAGTTGGGTTCGTCCCCCTTTTTTCTTCCCATGCAACTTTTTACATAAATGGTAATGAGTTTGGTGGTATGGAAAAATTAATTTCTCATTAAACAATTTGGGAAATTTTTACATATTTCCTAATTTGTTTAGTGGCACAACTTGCAATTTACAACTAATTTGAACCTAATTTGGTGACATGGTTTTACGTTTATGGTAGGTAAATCTAACCTAAGAGCATTTTCAACTGTTAAATCCAATGGCCCTGACGCGCCAAAGCACCCCAGAATGCCTTCCATATATTGACTGGTATGACACGTTCACACTTCTCGCCAACTCAAATTCTTTACATTAGCAGCATTCACACCTTAGAAAGGGTAAAAAAAAGGAGTTAATGTTACACTGTGGTTAGACTCACACAACTAACATGGACTCTACGCATTTCTTTTTCCTTTTTTTGAGTGTGGGTATATTATGCATAAAATAATTTGTTATATATACAAGAACTCACCGTTAATCCATAATTTGTAACCAAAGATGAGGCGAATTACTTAGAATGCATGTAAAGTTGAATTTGATGAAGAGAAAGAAACTTGGTTAAGTTTATTCCAATACATTGAAATTCATTTGTTGTTGAAAGAAATTGTTTTAGTAGGGGCTATAAGCTACCATTATAGTATCATCTAATTAAAAAAAAGAATTTGACAAAAGGAAATTGAAGAAAGATATTTATATATTGGTAAATTTGGGTAGGTTTTAGCCTTAGAAATTTGTTAAAATAAATTGAAGGCAACGAAGCTCGTTATTGGCTCAATTGGCTGACTTCATATTTGAATTGGTTTGCCGACTTCAACTGACTTGTCATTTGTTTCCTTGAATGGTTGTATGACGTATTAATAACCTCGAAAAAGGATTAATTATTGATACTCGTAGATTTTGAATCTTTGAAATGTTGTAATGAACTAATATTAGAAACTAATCGACTTATTGTTGTACTATGTCCTTTCACGCGCTTCTCGATTGTGAATTTCACGAGAGATCTAACAATAATATTCAAATGTATATATTCGAGTGTTGCATATTTTTGAAAATATCGATTGCAAGAATTTTCTTAAGATATTTTAAATTAATTTATTCAGTAAAGTTCAACTAGTTTATAATATATATAAATTTATCAGGCAAAAGTTTATGTGACGACTCCAATTGTTGGGAGAGTGCATGATAAAAAAAATGAGAACGCATTTGATATCGTACGGATTTGACGACTCCACTATGTTCTACATATTTGACTATTATAATATCGTACGGATTTGATATTTTAATCCATCGGTTATATTGGGAGAGTGCATGATAAAAAAAATGAGAACGCATGTGTTGCATCATTTTCCCTTCTCCAGAGCGCGTTTTGCAAACGCCCCTGCTGAGCCTGGTGGTGGACAGCCCACAGATTATATCTGAAAAGGAAAATGACCAAATAATCCCTTACGTGCATAACCCAAACAATATGCTGGTCATGATACCCCTTAGCCCCTCTATAAATTGAGCCCTCCTCTCCCACCAACCCATTTCATGCAGTGAGTGAGAGAGTCCTAGCTTCAGCTCAAGAGTGAAGAGAAGCATATATCATTTTCAGAGAATTTGAGAAGTGAGAGCCAATTCCCTACTCTCCTTTTTTCTTCTTCTTGTTTTAATTAAGAAATCTGTTATCTTTCATGTAGAAAGATGAGCCCTATTTCTTATTTCCTTCCCATTTATTATAATGACCGCCTAAATCTGCTATATTTTCGCCAAATATATTCATACTCTTCCCTTAAAAAGATAGATTTTTTACTTTTTTTGAGGATTTACCAATCCGATTCGTCTTAATTAATTTCAAAATGTGGTTGGTGAGAGTAGAGTTCTTATCGTGAGTGTCGTATAAAATGCTTCGGCACTAGAGCATTAGCTCCCACAAACCCTACTCGCTTAGATTTTAATTCTAGCTTGCATGTAGATTTTATGTTGCAATTTGGTGTGGATGAGATTATTTCACTTTTTTTTGTGCGGATGATATGATTTTATATATTTTTTTTGTTGTGGATGATGTGATTTTACAATTTTTTGGATATGAATGATATCATTTTACATTTTTTGGCTCATTTTTATAATCCTATGTTCTGATCTTTGACTTCTTTTTATGTTTAGGAACCAAAGCAAAGGCTACGGAAGATATGGCTGCTAATTCACATAGAGAGGCGATTTACTCCGTCCTCCAATACCTTGACCGCCATAACCTTGGAGAAGCAGCTCGCACGTGAGTTTTCCTTTCCCATGTTTATTTTTCCTTAAGCCTAATGTCATAGACAGCAGTCATCTATGTGTGAGAGACTGTTGTTAGATGATTGTCAATGCCCTTGTTATTGAGGGTTGGTCTTTCCTTTTTTTTTAATCTACATTCATGATCTCAATATTTGGCTAATAATTTACTAATTGCATGAATTATTTTGTACACACGTAGCCTGGAGCGGGAGTCTGGATTGTTCTTCTGCCTGCCTTATTTTGAAGAATGCTTCATTCATGGAGCATTTGATGAGGCAGAGGAATACTTCAACGGCTTCACCACAGTGCATGACAACTTGTACTCGACCAACGTCGTTTTTGTGCTTCGTTGGCACAAGTTTTTGGAAGCAGTAGACGAGTAATTAACTTACTAATTCACCTTTTATTTTTAATTAATTAATTAATTAATAATTATATAAATGTTAATTTTATTTACATACTTTTGCTGCGCATGCAGGAACAACCGTGATGAGGCTCACACCATCCTCCATGAAGAACTCAGCACTTTCCTCCTCTACAATCCAAACCTGATTGAGCGGGGGACCGAGATCATGAACCTGGAGAACTTCAGGTATAAGAACCGGTCGCTGCTATTTGTACCATCTCAATTGATTATCTAATATATATATGGCTTTGGGATTGGATGCATAGGACCTACGAAGGGCTTCAGGAATATGGAGAACCCGTCATGGCAAGAACCTCGGAAATGATGGATGTAAGGACATGTTTAGAGGCCAATCCAATGCTGAGTGGAAAAATTCGATATCGAATTCCCAACGCCAGTGGTGGCCGCGGCCCTGCCGATCTAGTACTCGCTCCTCCGCCACTTCCAGCAGCTTCTCCAGCAGGGCAAGAGCCTCTGCCCCTTATAGTGTTACTTTGTGGACCGGGCCATTTCATGCTTGTTCCACGAGGGTTCATATAATTAGGAGGCTAAATATTTAGTTTGGTCGGTCATTTGATTTTTATTTTGGACATAGGCCTAGGACCATAAATTTTTGTCTTAATTAGTACATTAGTTTGTAATTTGCCAGACTATTTGTGACTTTAGAATTCAATGAATTATGGTAGTTTAATTTTGTATATAGTTTTCAATGAAAAGCCAGATAAATAGCGGATGGCAATTGCCAAATGAAAGCATGAGTATATGTTGTGCTTGTACATGCATGGTTGAGTTGTTCCACAATGAATACGTTGCCATCAAATCATGAACCTGTACGAAAATTTCATTTAAATACAAGTAGTAAGGTCACATGGTATAACTTGTCCATGTGTTGTAATATACGTAGATATTTATTAATATTATTCTATATAAAAAAAAAGGAAATATCAACCATGTCGTTCATACACATTGTAACACGTATAAAAGCTATATTACATGGCTGTATGATTGTACTATTCTATAATTTCTCATAATTTCGTTAGCGAAAGGTTATTTGCACTCCCTGTTAAAAAGAAAAAAAAAACTAAATTTCTTTTTTGGTTTACATGAAGGGCCAAAGCCCAAGAAACTAAAAAACCTTCATAATGATGAACATGGTTTTGTCTGGCCCAAACTGTAATTTTGAAGAGAAACACTATTTGCACTCTTGATTAGAAAGGTAAAGTTGGAGTCATTCTAGAGTGAGGATCTTATATATATGGCTCTTAGGTGATGTCATATATCTTAATTGTTAGATTAGACTAATCAATTTGATCCAACGTTTAAAATATAGGATCTCACCTAAGGGTCATATATAAAACCCTTAAAACTCTTGGGTAAAGTTGAAATATGATATGGAGAAACAAGGCCCAAGAAACTAGAGCAACTATCTTCTTGGGCCTAGCCTAGCCAAAAGCAAAACTTTCTAGAGAAGAGAGGTAACACTAGCCTAAATAATAATAATATATTTTTTTAAATAAAAAAAAGGTCATTTGCACATTGAAAGCAAATTTTGCTTGTAGTCATGAAAGATAATACCCAAGAAAAAAAAGGAATTCCCCCATAGTGTATTATTATTATTTCTTGTAAACAAATGAAAAGTACAAAAGGAATTTAAAGTGACATATTCTGCCGTGTAAGAGCATCTCCAACCGATGTGTCAAAAAAAAGGAATTCCCCCATAGTGTATTATTATTATTTCTTGTAACCAAATGAAAAGTACAAAAGGAATTTAAAGTGACATATTCTGCCATGTAAGAGCATCTCCAACCGATGTGTCAAAAGTACCACATAGATATTTAACGGCTAGAAATAATATCTCACATCACTCCAATCGATGTGTCAAAGCTGATGTGGAATGAATGCTGGAGGTTGAGATATTATTTTTAACATCCCAAAAGTAAAATGTCAAATGAATATTTTATTATTTTTTATTATATTTTATTTTTAATTAAAAATAAATCAACACTAAAATGTAATAAAATAATAATTTAATTTCACATATTAAGTGGAGTGTAAAGCTGTGTAAGATGTCAAATTGCCACATCAGCCATCAAATTTAAATTTGATGTTTGGTATTTGACATCTCTCTACTCTCTTGGAAATGCACAGAAACAAAAAAGGGAGATTCACTATAATACTCAATATAGGAGTCCAAATTATAAAAAAACCCTATATGAAATGGACTTTAGAAACACGCCCAAAGTCTATTTACAACATAGCAAAAAGACTTTTAACTTCTTTTAAATTACAAAACTGCCATTGATTTCTTAAAACAAACCCAACCCAAAACCCTCATAAAAAAGCTCAAAACACTCAATGGGGGCATCAAAGTAATTTAATAATTAAAATTAAATTCAATAGGGCTATCTGTTATTTTTTGGTACGTTTATAGAAATTAAATAGTGTAGGGTTTATTTATAGTTTTAGTGCTAAGAATGGGTATTTGACTAAATATCTCAACAAAAAATTCTACAGGAAAATAAAAAAAAATTACAAAAAAAACACATAAAAATGATAATGCACTCCGGCATGACAAACGCGTGTAAAATTGCCTACGGCCACCTTTCTAATCGCACCAAAGTCGGGACCCACCATTTTCGGACAATAGCTTGGAAAAAGCTGAGCCTCAAAATGTACTTATATAAGTAAGCGGGCTTATCAACAAGTCATTGTCATGCAGTACCACTGCCAGTATGAGATTATATAAGTCAGCGGACTTATATTCTCTTACTTATCAGTTAATTAAACATTATATAATTTCTTGTGTTCTTGAGCTTTGAGGTGAGCTTCTGAAAAAACCTCTGCTTTTTATATTTTTAATTTCTTAATTATTTTTTTTGGTAATCTTGGTTTCTTGTTAGCCTTTTACAAATAGATGGAAATGGTTTTGAATGTGTGACATCTAAATTACTCTTTCATCTGCTTGGGTTTAATTTTGGATTTGATGCAATCTCAATATTTTGTTTGGTTTGTGAAGAAAAAAAGAGAGAGGAAAGAATTGTCATCTGTTGCTTGGCTTTGAGTTTAATCCTTGGGATGTATAATCTCAAGAAAGATCTTGTTTTCTTAATCTTACAGTTTTGTGATGAGGGAGGTTATCAAGAAGCTGCCCACATGTAAGTTTCTTTATCTCTGTTTATTAATAAAACATTCTTGTTTGTGAATCAATATCATTCAATTTGGGAATTGATGTACAGGCTTGAGAGAGTCAAAGTGGATTTTACTTTGACATGAACTATTTTGAGGACACTGTTCTTAGTGGGAAATGGGATGAGGCAGAGAGGTACCTCTCTGGTTTCATGAAATTCGATGACAATCGCTACTCGACGAAGATCTATTTCCAGATCAGAAAGCAAAATTTCCTTGAGGACATTGACAAGTGAGAACATTTTTTAAAGCTTCTTATAATCTGTACATAAACAATCTCTATAAAAAAAAAAACCATGTTCTGCATGTTTTTGGTTCATTCTTGACAGCAATTGTCGCGCCAAGGCGTTAGATATCCTCATGAAGGATCTCAAAGTTATCGCCGAAGGTAATGAGGAGCTGTTCAAAGAAATGCATCACATGTGTATGGGTTCAATCCAACAGGGATCATAAGGCACTCTCTATGTGTGGAGATATAATGTCTATGAGGAAGACTATGATGAAAGAACTCAGGCAAATAATTGAGGCAAAACCAGTTTTCCGTGGCAAACTGAAGTATCCTAGAATCAAAAGTCATAGATTACATAATTTTCATTAACCAAAGGTAATGCTTCCTCTCTAGTTTTGGTCTTCCTTTCTATTTTGTGATTGCATATGTTCATACATATGTGTGTGCGCGTTGTGTGTGAGAGAGAGTACTTGTTATTCTCATATTTAGTTAAAGATTTAGTCACTTTCTGTTTTTTGTAATTGGGAGAGAGACTGACTTGTGTGTTTAACTTGACAGCTTGAATTGGCAGCATAAACAGTGTAAAGACCCTCGTCCAAATCCAGTCATTAAGACTCTTTTCGTTGATCATGTTTGTGAACCACAGGAAAATGTTCCTTTGCCTCTACCATTTGAAAACAATTTGGAAGTAAGATGTGTTCTGGTGACATAAATATATTTTTCCTAAGTATTTGTCCTCATTAACCAATGATCCTGCTCGATGTCTACACTAACTGATTTTTGTCCAAATCCAGTTATTAAAACCCTTTTCATTGATCATGTTTGTGAATGGCAGAACTGTTTGTCTTTGTCTCTATCGACTGGGAACATTTTGCAAGTAAGGTAAACTGAAATTCTATTCATATTGGTCCTCATTAACCAATGTTTCCTGCTCATCAGCCACACTAGCTGATTTTCTTTTTCTTTTTTTAAACAAGATTTTGTTTAGTCTTTCTGGTTTCTTCTAAGATTGCTCTAACCTTATCTATGTAGCCTTCACAGGCAACATCAAATCCACTTCCAACTTCTTCTGCTGAGTCAAAAATTTATCTGTAACACAAGATGCGCTCTCTTTGGGAGCAGTATCTCTCAGTGCTGCATAGAGCCCAGGTATTTTATTTTAGTTCTTCAAGTGATGTTGGGTACTGGTGCCCTCTAATTTATGTTGGACGTGTATCGTCATTTTACACATTGCATAGTTGTTATTATTAACTTTTGATTGCATTTCTGTGGCTACAGCTATAGAGGTTATGAGGTAATCTGCATCAAATTCATGTACAGATTTACATAATAGAACTTACGTTTCTTGACCTTGGTTTCTTTCATTTGTTTAGGTAAAATCAACTCACTGATCCCGGCCAAAGTCACATGTCCTCGGTTGCCATACCCAATGGTTTGCCCACTACTGTTGCAGGCCGAGTAGTCCAACAGTATCCCATCAAACTCACTATTAAGTGTTATGTTTGTTTTAGGTGAACCTGGAGATGATACTTAGGGTTGAACCCATACTCAAACTCATACAGATCCGACCACGGAGATCTAACAAAACATGTTACCATTGAATGACAATATGGAAAGATAGGTACAACTAGTCAACCAATGGATCTCCCTGTCCCCATCCATTTCATGTTTGCATTCTTGAACTCATGTCCTGAAGATGACACATAAAACAACAAGAAGTAACTCAGGATCACCCTCATAGCTCTCCAAGTGAATGAAAATTGAATGAAAATATGGAAAGATGGGTACAACTAGTCAACCAATGGATCTCCCTGTCCCCATCCATTTCATGTTTATGCATTCTTGAACTCATGTCCTGAAGATAAAACAACAAAAGTGGATACTCACGGAATGTAAACAAGTAACTCAGGATCACCCTCATTGCTCTCCAAGTGTTCCTGTTGCAGAAAGTGGGATCAGATGAGGCTTCATATGCCCAGTAATTGAAACATAAATTAAAACCAAAATATATGGTAAACCTGAACTGAATCTTAACCAATGATTCAGCAATTTTTTGGCCGAAGGTGAGTGTTTTTCTTCTTCTACAGCAGCTGTATTATCTTGCATCTTTCTGGGAGTTTTTGATTTACTCTTTTTGCCCATCTTATGGATCCAAAAGCTGCATTTCACCCAGATTACATTACTGAGAATTGATAAAAAAGAAAAAAATTCGAAAGAAGAGATGACTCAACAATTGGAGCCCCAGAAAGCAGCATACTCCTTTTGGGTCTGTTAACCAGACCAACTCAGTCCGTAAAAGAATATTTGTTCATCATCAGCTTTAGCAACCAAATTAACATAACACAAACCAAAACAGAAAATGGAAAATACTGATTTTCAGTTTGTGTGGAGCTTAGATTCAAGTTTTCCGAAAATCGGCCGGCTAGGCGGGCTAGGCGGGCTAGGCGGGTCCTTTTAATTTTATTTTATAAATAGTATAGCCGTGCGGCTATACTTCTGGAATAATTTATTAAAAAAGTATGGCCCTCCTTAAATAATAGCCGCTCGGCTGTACCCTTTAAATAATATATTTAGACTGTATAGCCGGCGGCTGTACTTCTTAAATAATATATTTGAAGAGTATATCCGCCCGGCTAAACCCATTTTTTTATAATAAAAAATTTATTTTTAAAGAGGACCTGTTTGAAGAGGACCAAAGAAGCTGCCACCGATACCAACAGCAATGACATCCTTCAGGGCTTTCCCGGTGGCACCAACTTACCAGAATTGCCAATTACTTCACAATTCAGACAATATGGACCCAAATGGATACTAAAAAAAATTGTAGTGATTACCCAAACTTCCAAGGTTCATCCTAATTTATGGAAACTAAAGAGTGGCTTAGAGCTGATGAACAATGACCTATACCCTTTTTTCTTTTTCTTTTTTTTTTAATTTTCCTGCGCAAGGTTTATTCTTTCTTATGGAACGGATGTACCTGGCTGCCAATCAGTGTCGTCGGCCAATCGCAACTAGAGTAAATTTCTATAGACACCCATTTCTCACCCACACTTTAGGTTCACTCTCTGGTTTTGAGAATTAAAACTTAAAACCTAAGCTCAATACCCTAAACTCTGTCAAGGATGGAGTGCAACTTTTATTTCGCTTTGCCACCACTCACCAATAGCCACTTTTTTGTATGTATATTGACAGGATTATTGCACAATTCTGATGGGTCGAGATTGAGTCCAGATGATCTTGATCACGTTTCAACCTTGTCACTTGAGCCAAAACTCACCAATCTCTTTTGGACAATTGATCGGGATCACTAGTTATAAGTTTGGGCTCGAGTGGGATTGAATCTCTAAGAAAAATTAAAGATAACCAATACATGATCTGATCTGCAACTAAATATAAGAAATCGGAGGTTGTCCATTATTAGTGGCAATCTACAAGCAGGAGGAACCCTATGAGGGTTCATGAAATGCATATTTACTTGAGTTCAACATTACAGTCAATTTGAAGAAAATTAAATTGCTTAATGTCTCAAAGGAGAATACATCTTCAAGCATCTACCTTTGCCGCTGCAGATGCATAACTTACTCTACTGTCCCTCATAGTTTTGCACTGACTCAGTTTATGCTCGTTGAACAGTTCTTCAACATCTGAATGCATTGAAATATGATTGAGAGGGATGAAATAATGATCAAAACCAATATTCTAGATGCAGTTAACTGAAGAGCTGGAGTCAAACTTATGAGCAATGAAAACGAACCATTTTGCTGTCTCCAATATTCCCCTCAACCTGATTTGATGCCTCCAATATGTCAATATGAAATAGAAATAACAATCAGTATGTTTGAATTTGATTTAAATGTACATAATGTATTTCAGTTTGTTTGATAAATATTATTGATAATCATTTAGTATGGTTAATTTGATAAGGAACCATGATTATCAAAACTCAAAGAAATGACTAGAAATAGTCTTAAGAGGACCTGTGGATGTTCATTATAGATTTATATGAAACTTGATGAGTTCATATCTTGATGGCGTTCCGTGTAGATGAAAGATTTGTGTACATGATCTTGGGGAATGTTTTTAAGTTTAAATGAACATTACTCCCTCTAGTCATGCATAAATACTTTCATCCGACAGGAATTTGATTATAGGACTTTGTTGTTGTGAACTCATGGCCATACAGTACAACTGCGTTTGAGCTATGGATTGAATGTTAGCCCTAGTGGGAGAATGTAAGCATAATTAAGGGCTTTACACTCATCCTAGTGGAATACAAGTCAAATGCAGAAGTAGAGTCCATTTACAACTCACCTTGTTGCTCATACAGAGTGTAAAGACAGACTAAACATAAGGATATCATATTTTATGTGATAATAAATGCAGAACATGGAGACAAGACTGGGTGCTCAAGAAAGACCTTGACAGATTTCTTTAATGGGAAGAAATCTGTGAAGAACACGCCACTTCAGTTATAAATATGATAGGTCCCTGCTCTCTCGATCACACTGCAGAATCCACCCCCTCTAGCCCCATTGATTGTACTGCATAAGGAGACCGTAGAGTTGCAGAAGCATCTGTCATTGAAGCAAGCATGCCTTCATCATGTAAGTGATCAAGAGGTATTGTGAGTTTCCTAAAGACTACAGATTTTTTTTCAGTCTTACACTAGTTTCTTCAGGTGCTGATGCATATTGGAAGCTACAATTACTTTCAGACATGGCTTCTACTCTAATGTGACTTCTGTTATTTAACGACGTCATTTTGGCCCAGCAGATTTTTGTGTGGGGTGCTGCTGGGTGGGAAAAACAGAGAGGCAAATGGTTGCAGATTCCAGATGGGAAGGAGTTGAGATCATTGAAAGATACTTACATCCAAAGTCACCAGAAATATGATTGAAATGGATGAAATAATGATCAAAACCAATATTCTAGATGCAGTTAACTGAAGAACTGGAGTCGAAGTTATGAAGAAAAAAAACGCCATTCAAGTTTTCGAAAAATCGGCCGCCTAGGCGGGCTAGGCGGGTCCTTTTTTTAAATATATAATAAATAGTATAGCCGCCCGGCTATACTATTTCAAATATATATATTTAAACAGTATAGCCGCTCGGCTATACTATTTAAATAATATATTTAAACAGGAATCTAAAAAAACGCCATTCATTTTCGAAAATTCGGCCGCCTAGGCAGGTCCCTTTTTTTTTCAATAAATAAAACGTATAGCAAATTGAGAAGCAATTTGAAAGGGATGAAATATTGATCAAAACCAACATTCTAGATGTTGTTAACTGAAGAGCTGGAGTCGAACTTATGAGCCATGAAAAAGAACCATTTTGCAGACTAGGTAAACTAAGTTTAATTCTTCAAAAAATGACCCTCGCATTTTTCCTCTCAACCTGATTTGATGTCTCCAATATGTCAATATGAAATAGAAATAACAAGTGCTACCAACGAAGATCTATTTCCATATCAGAAAGCAAAATTTCCTTGAGGCCATTGACAAGTGCGAACGTCATTTTTTTTAAGCTTCTTATAATCTATACATAAACAATCTCTAAAAAAAATACCATGTTCTGCATGTTTTTGGTTCATTCTTGACAGCAATTGTTGCACAAAGGCGTTAGATATCCTCATGAAGGATCTCAAAGTTATTGCCGAAGGTACTGAGGAGCTGTTCAAAGAAATGCATCACATGTGTATGGGTTCAATCCAACAGGATCATAAGGCACTCTCTATGTGTGGGAGATATAATGTCTATGAGGAAGACTATGATGAAAGAACTCAGGCAAATAATTGAGGCAAATCCAGTCTTCCTTGGCAAACTGAAGTATCCTAGAATCAAAAGTCACAGATTGCATAATTTTCATTAACCAAAGGTAATGCTTCCTCTCTAGTTTTGGTCTTCCCTTCTCTTTTGTGATTGCATATGTTCATACATATGTGTGCGCACGTTTTTCTGAGAGAGAGAGTACTTGTTATTCTCATATTTAGTAAAAGATTTAGTCACTTTCTGTTTTTTGTAATTGGGAGAGAGACTGACTTGCCTGTTTAACTTGACAGCTTGAATTGGCAGCATAAACAGTGTAAAGACCCTCGTCCAAATCCATGTCATTAAGACTCTTTTCGTTGATCATGTTTGTGAACAACAGGAAAATGTTCCTTTGCCTCTACCAATTGAAAACAATTTGGAAGTAAGATATGTTCTGGTGACATAAATTTATTTTTCCTAAGTATTTGTCCTCATTAACCAATGATCCTGCTCGATCGGTGTCTACACCTACTGATTTTTGTCCAAATCCAGTTATTAAAACCCTTTTCATTGATCATGTTTGTGAAGGGCAGGTCTGTTTGTCTTTGTCTCTATCAACTGGGAACATTTTGCAAGTAAGATATTTTAACCAATGTTTCCTGCTCATCAGCCACACTAGCTGATTTTCTTTTTCTTTTTTTAAACAAGATTTTGTTTAGTCTTTCTGGTTTCTTCTAAGATTGCTCTAACCTTATCTATGTAGCCTTCACAGGCAACATCAAATCCACTTCCAACTTCTTCTGCTGAGTCAAAAATTTATCTGTAACACAAGATGCGCTCTCTTTGGGAGCAGTATCTCTCAGTGCTGCATAGAGCCCAGGTATTTTATTTTAGTTCTTCAAGTGATGTTGGGTACTGGTGCCCTCTAATTTATGTTGGACGTGTATCGTCATTTTACACATTGCATAGTTGTTATTATTAACTTCTGATTGCATTTCTGTGGCTACAGCTATAGAGGTTATGAGGTAATCTGCATCAAATTCATGTACAGATTTACATAATAGAACTTATGTTTCTTGACCTTGGTTTCTTTCATTTGTTTAGGTAAAATCAACTCACTGATCCCGGCCAAAGTCACATGTCCCCGGTTGCCATACCCAATGGTTTGCCCACTACTGTTGCAGGCCGAGTAGTCCAACAGTATCCCATCAAACTCACTATTAAGTGTTATGTTCGTTTTAGGTGAACCTGGAGATGATACTTAGGGTTGAACCCATACTCAAACTCATACAGATCCGACCACGGAGATCTAACAAAACATGTTACCATTGAATGACAATATGGAAAGATAGGTACAACTAGTCAACCAATGGATCTCCCTGTCCCCATCCATTTCATGTTTACATATGCATTCTTGAACTCATGTCCTGAAGATGACACATAAAACAACAAGAAGTAACTCAGGATCACCCTCATAGCTCTCCAAGTGTTCCTGTTGCAGAAAGTAGGATCAGATGAGACTTCATATGCCCAGTAATTGAAACATAAATTAAAACCAAAATATATGGTAAACCTGAACTGAATCTTAACCAATGATTCAGCAATTTTTTGGCCGAAGGTGAGTGTTTTTCTTCTTCTACAGCAGCTGTATTATGTTGCATCTTTCTGGGAGTTTTTGGTTTACTATTTTTGCCCATCTTATGGACCCAAAAGCTGAATTTCACCCAGATTACATTACTGAGAATTGATAAAAAAGAAAAAAATTCAAAAGAAGAGATGACTCAACAATTGGAGCCCCAGAAAGCAGCATACTCCTTTTGGGTCAGTTAACCAGACCAACTCAGTTTGTAAGAGAATATTTGTTCATCATCAGCTTCATAGCAACCAAATTAACATAACATAAACCAAAACAGAAAATGGAAAATACTGATTTTCAGATTCTATGGAGCTTAGATTCAAGTTTTCAGAAAATCGGCCGCCTAGGCAGGCTAGGCGGGCTAGGCGGGTCCTTTTTATTTTATTTTATAAATAGTATAGCCGTGCGGCTATACTTTTGGATTAAAAAAGTATGGCCCTCCTTAAATAATAGCCGAGCGGCTGTACCCTTTAAATAATATATTTAGACTGTATAGCCGGCGGCTGTACTTCTTAAATAATATATTTAAAGAGTATAGCCGGTCGGCTAAACCCTTTTTTTTATTTTTTTATTTTTTATTTTTTAAAGAGGACCATAGAAGTTGCCACCGATACCAACAGCAATGACATCCTTCAGTGCTTTTCCGGTGGCACCAACTTACCAGAATTGCCAATTACTTCACAATTCAGACAATATGGACCCAAAATGGATACTAAAAAAAATTGTAGTGATTACCCAAAATCCAATTCGAATACTCTCAAAAATTGTAGTGATTACCAAACTTCCAAGGTTCATCCTAATTTATGGAAACCAAAGAGTGGCTTAGAGCTGATGAACAATGACCTTCCCAGCACCAAAGGTATTCTTGAAATTTTCTTTTCCCAACCAAAAAACTTTGTTTGCAAATTTTTCATGATCTAACTCATTGTACTCATAAAAATCTGTTGCTTAAAAAGGCAGACGATTAAGAAAATAAAGTTTTCGAAAAATCAGCCGCCTAGGCGGGCTAGACGGTTTCTTTATTTTATTTTATTTTAATAAATAGTATAGCCGAACGGCTAGACTCCTTAAATAATACATTTAAAATGTATAGCCGCCCGGCTATACTATTTTTTCTTTTTCTTTTTCTAAATTTTCCTGCGCAAGGTTCATTCTTTCTTATGGAATGGATGTGCCTGGCTGCCAATCGCAACTAGTGTAAATTTCTATCGACACCCATTTCTCACCCACACTTTAGGTTCACTCTCTGGTTTTGGAACATGGCCGGAAACTTGAGAATTGAAACTTAAAATCTAAGCTCAATTACCTAACATATCAACTCTGTCAAGAATGGAGTGCACTTAAAATCTAAGCTCCATACCCTAAACTCTGTCAAAGATGGAGTGCCACCACTCACCAAGAGCCACTTTTTTGTATGTATATTGACAGGATTATTGCACAACTCTGATGGGTCGAGATTGAGTCCAGATGATCTTGATCACATTTCAACCTTGTCACTTGAGCCAAAACTCACCAATCTCTTTGGACAATTGATCGGGATCACTAGTTATAAGTTTGGGCTCAAGTGGGATTGAATCTCTAAGAAAAATTAAAGATAACCAATACATGATCTGATCTGCAACTAAATATAAGAAATCGGAGGTTGTCCATTATTAGTGGCAATCTACAAGCAGGAGGAACCCTATGAGGGTTCATGAAATGCATATTTACTTGAGTTAAACATTACAGTCAATTTGATGAAAATTAAATTGCTTAATGTCTCAAAGGAGAATACATCTTCAAGCATCTACCTTTGCCGCTGCAGATGCATAACTTACTCTACTGTCCCTCATAGTTTTGCACTGACTCAGACTGCTCATATCGGAGAAAATTGATCTTTATGCTCGTTGAACAGTTCTTCAGCATCTGAATGCAATGAAATATGATTGAAAGGGATGAAATAATGATCAAAACCAATAATCTAGATGCAGTTAACTGAAGAGCTGGAGTCAAACTTATGAGCAATGAAAAAGAACCATTTTGCTGTCTAGGTAAACTAAGTTTAATTCTTCAAAAAATGACCCTCACATTTTTCCTCTCAACCTGATTTGATGTCTCCAATATGTCAATATGAAATAGAAATAACAGTCGCTACTCGACAAAGACCCTCACATAAATTAGGGCTTTACACTCATCCTAGTGGAATACAACTCAAATGCAGAAGTAGAGTCCATTTACAACTCACCTTGTTGCTCATACAGAGTGTAAAGACAAACAAAACAATTGAGCTAAAGGAGTCCTATTTGTACAAGGATTAATACATGATATGTACTGTTAAAGTTGGGAGTAATACATCATTTAATCTGTTGGTTGCTGTATTAATCTAAAATGTGAACACAGAATAATGAAAGACCATGTGCAGAGCCACTTGCTGAGGAATAAACATAAGGATATCATATTTATGTGATAATAAATGCAGAACATGGAGACAAGACTGTGTGCTCAAGAAAAACATTCGACAGATTTCTTTATTGGGAAGAAATCTGTGAAGAACACGCCACTTCAGTTATAAATATGATAGGAGCTCTCTCGATCACACTGCAGAATCCACCCCCTCTAGCCCCATTGATTGTACTGCATAATGAGATCGTAGAGTTGCAGAAGCATCTGTCATTGAAGCAAGCATGCCTTCATCATGTAAGTGATCAAGAGGTATTGTGAGTTTCTTAAAGACTATAGCAGATTTTTTTTCAGTCTTACACTAGTTTCTTCTGGTGCTGATGCATATTGGAAACTACAATTACTTTCAGACATGGCTTCTACTCTAATGTGACTTCTGTTATTTAACCACGTCATTTTGGCCCAGCAGAGATTTTTGTGTGGGGTGCTGCTGGGTGGGAAAAACAGAGAAGCAAATTGTTGCAGATTCCAGATGGGAAGGAGTTGAGATCATTGTCAGATACTTACATCCAAAGTCACCAGAAATATGATTGAAATGGATGAAATAATGATCAAAACCAATATTCTAGATGCAGTTAATTGAAGAACTGGAGTCGAAGTTATGAAAAAAAAACGCCATTCAAGTTTTCGAAAAATCGGCCGCATAGGCGGGCTAGGCGGGTCCTTTATATACATATACATATATATATAATAGTATGGCTATACGCTATAAATAATATATTTAAAAGGGATTGCCACGCAGCTGTACTCCTTCTATACTCATTTTTTTTTTAAAAATTAATTTTTTTCCCAGATTTTCCTTTATCGTAGTTTACAAAATTATCCATTACTATTAGGCCATTATCCGACTCTCTATTGTCTCATTTTGATTTTTTACTTGTTACCCGTATAAAGAATTCAGCATTTTCCAGGTTAATACTTGTATTATACACATAAGTATGTATTTTTCAATAATACTTTCATTTTTCATACATGTCTTAAAGACTCGGTGAAATACACATTTAAAAAATAATAATATATATTAAAAATATTTAAATAAATTATATAAAAATATTATATATTGGCCAAACTTTTAAGTTGTAACTTGCCAAAATTTTGCATAATAAAACGTGTACGTATTTTATTCGTATTTTTCCCGTTCCGTATTTTACTAACAATGAAAGAATGTGAGAGGGTAAGATTATTTCTTACTTTTTGTAAAAATGCAAGATGGTGATTTTGCCATCTCTTTGCCAACTAGAACAAAAATTTCAAATAAAGATTTATGGGTATAGTAGTAAGAGGTGGACTTGTAATTCTGCATGTAAAGTGTTGTTTGAAAAGTGAAGCCATTACCAATACCAACTCCAACTCATCATGCAATTCTCTACGACAAATAATGTGTGCAGTAACATAATTTAGTAGCACTCGATCGAGATAACGCGGTGGAAAAGCCCCACGCAACAGAAAAAAAAAAAAAAAAAAAAAAAAAATAAATGAAATCTCAAATTGATTTACTATGAAATTTCTCTCTTCAATATCTGCTTTGGATATGTTGAAACTAGCAAATTAATAACCACAAAGTATAAACTAATGGAAGTAGGCCACAAAATTTCAAAATTGCTAGGGCACCCTTCTTTGCAAACTCTAAAATTAGAAAGCTTTTGTTTTGCTTCCAGCATAACCTCTCTCTATTAATTGTCTTTCCCAAGCAGAACAGTACTTGCAATACACTTATAGTGGGACCTAAGAGGGGCAAAGTAAAGATTTATCAATCTAATGATTTTCGAAATCACATCAATTTCGGGTAAGATACCCTCGTATACGATGTATCCACTTGTTATGGCCGAAAATCCACGAAAACCAACCTAGTTTGCAGTGGCACGCTCTAATGGTGAGCTCCATGTCCTTGAGCCTTTGGAAGATGAAGATAAATGGGGTATGTTGCCCGTTGGTTGACAACAAGTTGGAGAGCTGCCAGCCGGTGGAATCCGAGGGCATTGTCCCAGCTTGAAAAAAGCCCTTGGTGTGTGATCTCTATAGTAGAGGCCTAAACATAATAAGATCTCATCTCTAGATAATGTAGGCAATGGTGTTTAGGCATTAGGGGCACTAAATTATATCAAACCGAAAATAAATTCAGGACTTTATTGGAAAATTTGCAGTCATGATTTCTTGTAAGTTTTAACTATTCTTTCCTACGCAAGGTTCATTCTTTCTTATGGAACCGATGTGCCTGGCTGCCAATCAGTGTCATTGACCAATCGCGACTAGTGTAAATTTCGATCGACACCCGTTTCTCACCTAAGCCCTAGGTTCACTCTCGGGTTTTGGAACATGGCCGGAAACTTTAGAATTAAAACTTAAAATCTAAGCTCAATACCTAACATATCAACTCTGTCAAGAATGGAATGCACTTAAAATCTAAGCTCCATGCCCTAAACTCTGTCAAGAATGGAGTGCAACTTTTATTTCGCTTTACCACCACTCACCAAGAGCCACTTTTTTGTATGTATATTGATAGGATTATTACACAATTCTGATGGGTTGGGATTGAGTCCAGATGATCTTGATCACATTTCAATCTTGTCACTTGAGCAAGAACTC